CCACTCCGACTGTGCTATGGCGCTCGCCCCGCTCTCATTGGCCGAGCGCTGCTCTCCCCCTCCCCACTCCCCCAGTCAGTGCCCCGGCAAAACCCCGCCACGCCTGCGCTGCCGTCAAGCCCCGCCGACTGCTGCCAGTGGCTCACGGTTCTGTCGTTCATGCGCTGCTATGGAGACGTGACCCCGCCTCCTCATCGGCTACGACCGAAGTCGACGTCCTCATTGGCCGGAGCCACCGTCGCTCTGGGGGAAACTCGGGTGGGTCGGGTTATCCAGGGCCAAGAGGAAAGAGGGCGGGCTCTGCCTGCCCCAATTCATACATGATTGGCTAGTTTTGGGACAATCCATGCTTCCGTTGGCTAAGGCCTCTGTCCGTCACCACAGAGTCTCGGCCTCTCTGTTCTTTCTCTGGTGGAACCTTCAGTCACCGGAGGAGATGAATGCGCGCGCTCCTCAGTCGCCCTCGCCTTGCGAGGCCTGAGGTTGCCAGGGCAACTAAACTTTATTGACAGCCTTGCCTGGCTACAAAGGGCTCCTCCGCCTGCGATCTCCCTCCCTCCCTCGTCTGAGTTTGGGAGTACCCACTAGAACTCTGGGGCTTTCCTGCGGTGAAGGGTCGGGAAAGGGGGAGACTGAGAAATGTGGGCTTTGTTTGGAGACAAGCCCTGACTCACCGGGCGCTCCCCCAGCACCGTCCTCTAATTGGGATCACCTGCTTCACTCTCAGAGGCAAACGGAATTAGAAATTCATCAACATTACGCCCAGAATAATAAGGCCCGGCTCAGAGGGCTCAGAGCGGGCGGTGTTTGTTTGGCTTTCCTTCCGCCATTGCTGTGTCCTGTGGAACAATGCCCGGAGTCGTGCCTTCCTAGCTGTGCGCAAAGAACTAGAAGGCGGAGTGACCAGAGACATGAGCTGTGTCCGGCTCTGCCCTTAGCGGAGAGGCTCGCACGGAGGCTTCGGGCTCCCACTGTAACACAGAGGCCGCACCGGGCTCTGCCTCCAGCCTCCGCCCTTGCTCGCGCGGTTCGGCTCCCAGGGCCCAGGGCCCTGCACCCGCTCCACCTCCCTAGTCTCTCCAGCGCTCTAAATGGCCAGCAGCCTTGGCCCCCCAGCGGCAGGCCACCACACCTTCCTCAGAGCCATCCTGGGGACTGGCCCTGGAGCCACCCTCAGCCTGGTGAGGACAGAGAGGTGGCTGTGGCCTCGCATAGCCCTTCCCGCCATCACTCACCTGGACAGCCACCAGGAGAGGTGGGCCCCTCTGCAGAGGAGGTGGTACCCAGGGAAGGGCTGCACCAACCCGATTCACAAGCCCTCAGCTGTCCTGGGGCCAGTCGCTGCTCCCACACCGTGAGCTGTGAGGCTGGAGTCCTGGCGGCTGGGAAAACACGCGAGGCTTGTATGTTTGTGTGCCCCAAATCCCTGTAGAATGGAGGAGAGGGGATCAGGCCATCACCCCCAAGGGTGATTCCTGTCTCCCAGTCTCTGGCGCACTGCAGAAAACAAACCAAAAAGCTCAGCTGTCCGGAAGTCGATCTGTATGGAGGAATCAGAAAGTTCAGTCCTATTTCTAGCGTGTGCCCGAGAGAAACGCTGCCACAGGGAACAAGCCAGTCTCAAGGATGCAGCCACAGTTTGTGGCAGTGAGGAGCTGACCAAGGCAAGGCCATGGCACCCGGTGTGTCCACACAGGGGCACACACAGGTGCTGTGTGAGAAAGCAGCTCTCAGAGGAGTGTGCTCGCACAATCCTCCTCCTCCATTTTTCCATCCCCTGAGAATTTGGCCGTGCACAGGTAGGTGCCTGCAGTGTCTTTGTTTTTTTTTTTTTTCTTAGAGGTTTTTGCTATAGGGCGGGTGCACTCACCAGAAAAAAAAAAAAAAACAGAGAGAGACAGAAAGCGAGAAATCACCCCCCGGGTGGATGGCCACGCCGCAATCCCTTCTCCTCCATTCTCCTCTCGGGATCCTGGTCATGCATGCACACGCACCTGGCGTGAGTTTAAGCCACCTGGTCCAGGACTTGAACCGCGGTCGAGTACGTGGGAGTCCAGCAACATAGCCATTATGCTAACTGCTGGTCCCAATAAAATAATTCTTAAAAAAAAATCACACCATACCCCATAGATGTGGATAGCTATGTGGCGATTTGAAATGGTCAGTGATCGAATGATTGAGGACAATGCTTTTGACAGTTGGACACGTTCCCATGACTGCTTTCCTTACTCTTGGTTTCTTTTCTTTCTTTCTTTTCTTTTTTTTTTTTTTTTTTTTAGGGGGGTTTTTTCTTTAGGGGACAAACTACTGGAGAGACAGAGAGAAACAGAGAGACGGGAAGCAAGAAATCACCCCCCGGGGAGGATGGCCACGCCGCAATCTCTTTTCCTCCATGCTCGACTTGGGATCTTGGGCACGCACGCACACGCACCCAGCATGAGTTTAAGCCACCGGGTCCGGGACTCAAACTGCGGTCGGCTACATGGGAGTTCAGTGACATAGCCATTACGCTAACTGCTGGTCCCTGCAGTGACTTTGTTTCAAGCAGCTGCTGCTGGGCTTCAAATCATGAAGTTGGCCATGTGGGATCTGGCTCCCTTTTCACGGCATTTAATCACTATTACACGGCCAGCCCTGTGATTCTATTTTTATTTCATTTTTTTCTGGAGAGATTTTTGCTATAGAGTGCATACAGTCGCCGGAGACATAGAGAGACAGAAAGCGAGAAGTCACCCTCTAGGGGTGATCACGGCGCCACAACCTCCTCTATTTCCCTCTCAGAATTTGGGCACACGTGCACATGTGCTCAGTGTGTTCCGAGCCAGCGGGCCCGGGACGTGAACGACGGCTGGCCATGCAGGAGTCCAGGGACTGGATTACACCATCTGCTGGTCCCTTTATTTTATTTTTTTAAATGTTTATCTAATTTTATTTATTACTTTTATAGTTATTTAATTTGCTACAGGACACCTGCCATCACCAGAGAAAGAGAAAGAAAATGAGCAAGCCAGCCACCAGGTCCAGGATTCAGACCACGGTTGGCCATGTGGGAGCCCAGTGCCTCAACCACCAGGCCACCTGCTGGCATTTAAAAAAAGCTTCGAGGGACCAGCAGATGGTGTAATGGCTATGTCTCTGGACTCCCATGTAGTTGACTGCCATTCAAGTCCCGGACCCGGTGGCTTAAACTCACTCCAGGCGCGTATATGTGCATACTCAAGATCCCGAGGGGAGTAGAAGAGAAGGAATTGGTATGGCCATCCCCCATGGGGGGTGGTTTCTTGCTTTCTGTCCCGCTGTCTCTCTCTGTCTTTCTGGCGAGTACACACACCCTATATCACAGACCTCTCCAAAAAAAACCTTTGAGGGGGGCTGGCAGGTGGCGTGGTGGTTAAAGGCACTGGATTCCCACGTGGCGACCGCAGATCGAGTCTGGACCTGGCGGCTTGCTCACTTTTCCTTTCTCTCTTTTTCTCTCTCTGGTCAAATTAATAATACTAACAACAAATGGAATTAAATAAATAAATAAAATTTTAAAAAGGTTTTGAGGTAGAAACTGTGAGTTCGTTGTATACTCTCTGTTCTCTCATGTCAGAGAATTTCATACTACAGTAGGAGTTTGAGCCACCAATTCCACTCGCAGGGTTTACGCTAAGGGAATGACGGCGCACGCTGAAGTATCTGTCT